TTATGTTCTGCAGCTTGTGGAACTTTACTTCTATGTTTGTCACATCCAGTCAATGTCCTGCATAAACTTGATTTTTCAGTGGCTGTTCTTGAACATTGTTTCTGTGCCTAAATGTAATTCTCCACTGGTTTTAAATGTGTACCTACTTTCTTCTCTTCTTCTATGGTTCTCCGATCCGTATTCGGTCCATGGCCTCCACAATTCTCCTCTTCCATTCAGTCCTATCCTCCACTGCCTTCTTCCAATTTCTAATATTCAGGAGCAGTGTGGCATCCGTTTGAACTGCATCCTCCCATCTATTCCTGAGTCTTCCAACTGGTCTTCTTCCTCCAACACTACCTTTGAATACCATCTTTGGAATTCGGAGGTCGTCCATCCGAATCAGGTGACCTGCCCATTGAAGTCTCTTGATTTTTATAAATTGTGATAATGGTATGACTTTATATAATTTATAGATTTACTGATTAGTTTTTATCCTCCATTCACCTGCTTCTTGTGTTGGGGCGAAAATTTTCCTCACAATTTTCCGTTCAAACAGATCCACTTTATCTGTTGCATTCTGGTTGAGTACCCATGTTTCACTCCCGTATGATATGCTATGGATGAGAGTTTTACATAATGTGATTTTTACTTTCTTATTTATTCAATGGAATTTAATCAGTGGTAATATCGAGAAATATGCTTTATTGGCCACTTGAATTCTGCTTTGTATTTCTACCATTTCCTCATTCTTATTTGTTATGCATACTCCAAGGTATGTGAATCTTTACACCATCTCTATTTCATGTTCCTTGATCTTTATATGTTGGTCTAATGATCTTCTCCTTCATGTTTGTATTAAGGCTTTTGTTTTCCTTGTGTTAATTGCTTCATCCTTATCCTCTGCAGGTGAGTACGCATTTATGATAGACAGGTTGCGCAGTTTGGTTCTAATCCTTATTTTGCGTATTATCTATGGGTTGGAATTCCATCACATTTCCTTTAAATCTTTTGTCCACTATGAAGGCTACCCTTGCCTCTCTATTTCCTTTCTTCTTACCACTGCTATAGATAGTGTGCGTTTTTGTGTCCCATATTTCCTCACTTGTTCATCTTGTTTCTTGTACCACTGTTATGTGTACTCTATATTTAGTTAATTGCTCTGTTAATACTCTCAATGCTCCTGCTTCAAGAAGGGTTCTAACATTCCACGTACCAATCTCAATATCCTTATCTTTCCGCTTTATTCGTCTTCTATTAGGTCCGTTTGTCCGAAGCTTTGATTGAGGTTTCGAAACAAGGTTGTTAGCCTTGTGACCAACTCCCAACCTGGAGGACCAGGGTACCTGTCTTAGTCTGACCTCTCCCCCTCGACCAATCTGGCTAGGGAGGCCATACCAGTAGCTATGCTACCGCCAACATAGCTCTTGGGGTCACTTAGGTACACAAGCCCCACCACCACAACAGGGTGCAGGTACCATTAAGTGAGGGTGTACCTACTTTACTAGCATTAAAATAGTAGTGTATTAGCTACTAACTAACTTATAAAAGAATGGTCTTCAAGGGAATATGATGTTCATAGAGAATACATATGTCAGATCATCTTCCAAATGCCAGGGGCTTTCTTGAAAAGCTCCATCATGCTTTCTGCATCCTGTATCCAGTCATCTTGTAAACTATAACTCCAACACCCCACCAATCCATTTCCTGCAACAATTAAAATTAAGGGCAACAGCTGCAGTCAGTCATTTCCTTTTCTTCACAATCTTATACATTTTCACAAGGGTCTCTAGGAAGAGAAAAATTATGGTATGAAGTTCATTGTTCATTTCTTGCCTCCCTGTATATATAAGTACTTTTTCTTTATTTATTTATTCATTCATGAAAGGTGAAGTGAAGCTGTCACACTATACGCCATGTAGGCGCTTGGGGGAGAGGAGGTATAGCTCCTACTCATTCTTGACCTCGGCACTAGATGGGGGTGAGTGGCCAGCATCATGCCCCGGCCATGCTTTACCCCTGGGAAAGGACCCAGATACCCATCGGATAGGAGGCTGGGTGGGCCCCAGAGCCGGTCTGAATGCAGAGGCTAGAGGAAAAATCCTCTGCCTCCGTCGGGGATCGAACTTTGGTCGCCCAGTTTGTAGCCAGTCACTATGAAAGGTACTTGAAGGGAATATTGAATATGCAGGAGGTTAAGGCCAAGTTGCAGCCATACTCATACTGTTACAGACACTCAACAAAAATCAGCACCATACATTGGCCATGATATGTTTAGTGAGACAGTCACCAACTTCATGGCACTGTGTGTGTGTGTCGTCAGACACCATTTAATTATGGGGATAATGAAGGAACAACTGATGCCGTTGTATCCAGTGTGCCATAGGTTTCAGTTTGTTTGATCTTGACTCTCCATTACTCATCCCATTTCATATGACCATGTTCTCTATGGAGGTCTGGCATCCTTAGTGTAGCAAACACTAATTTATATAAAAGAAATACTTGTAATAACTAAATATACCTTAGGCTTCTGAGAAGGTTGAACTACCCAATACAGAAAATTATTGGGCAAGATGAAATCAGCTGTGATAGTGACTTTATTCTTACAATGAAATTTCAAGCAAGTCTCCAATCTCATCATTTATGTATGCGCTTGCATGTGTTTGTGCTTAGATAGCCAGTCCCAGGAAAAGAAAAGAATGTGGGAACAGGCCAACAACTGTCTATGAAGAGTGCACACCACTCACTCTGAATAAGTGAACAGACTCTTTGATCCCAGAATGGCTCAATGGCCCAATTTGACATTGCTGTCTTTAAGAGGAATGTCAGTGCAGCACACCCCTGTACAGCCTTGCCTTTACTACAGCTCTGGATATAATAACAAAGAACTGATAAATTCCATTGTCAGGATGTGTCAATCCTACTATCCTACTACAAATAGAAATGTTAGGGCAGATTGAAGTGAGGAGTCCTGCAAGATGTTCAGTTAAACTGAAGTTGTCACAGTTCTGCTGTTGATATTTCAGTGTTGTTAAAACCTTGAAAAATCTATTTTTTTTACTGCTGCTACATGTGGAGCAAGTCAAACTTTTCATACAGTTAATTATAAAATTCATAAATCCTATGATGGATGAGTTTATTGATATGTCAAGACATTTCAGAAAATGTGCATTGTCAAAGGTGTGATTTTTTTAAGGTTAAGACTGTTTTATAGTAGGTGATCATAATTTCCCTGTTTTATAATTTTACTTTGGTTCAAGGGGACAAAAATAAATCTAGGACATTTTGCTTACCAGTGTAGTGTGCATATTTATTACTGAGCTTGCATGTATATATGTGTATAACTAACTAATTAACTCGCAGGTCCAACCAATGATTCCATCCTGAGCAAACTCCATCTTCACAGCCTACCTCCCTAAGATCCACCTTGATATTATCTTCCCATATCCTTCTTCGTCTGCCCAGTGATCGTTTTCCAGAGGGATTCCCCAACAAGATTCTGTATGTCCCCATGCTCCCTCTACCATGTATACTACATGCCCAGCCCATTGGAACTATGCTATATGACCAGTACAATTCACACAGCTCCTCCTGCAATATTTAAATTCCCCACGTGGGTCCAAATTTTCCAGACTATAGATAATTCAGGTATGTGGGGTTTTAAATAAGCAGCGTCTGAGGATGTGTTCTTCTGGCGAGATTAAATCCATATGTGAATTAAATTATTTGGGATCATCATTGTGGGTTCAGATGTACAGCTCAACAATTGATCAGATCTTTTGCATTTGTCAGATACTAGAGAAAAATGGGAGTTCAGTGGGACCGTGCATCAATTATTTATAGATTTCAAAAAAGCCTATGACTCTGTGAAGAGAGAAGTGTTATATAATATTCTTATTGAATTTGGTATACCAAAGAAGCTAGTGAGTCTAATAAAAATGTGCTTAAACGAAACCTGTAGCAAAATTTGTATAGGTAATTATTTATCTAACTCACTCTCCATTAAGAACGGTCTGAAACAAGGAGACACTTCGTCTCCATTGCTGTTCAACTTTGCGCTAGAATACGCCATCAGGAAAGTCCAAGATAGGCAGGAGGGTTTGCAATTGAATGGGGCACATTAGCTATAGGCATATGCTGCTGATGTTAATTTATTGTGTGATGATATAAATACAACAAAGAAGAACACAAGTTTTGCTAGAAGCTAGTATATGGGTGTGGCTAGAAGTAAATTCAGGAAAAAAAAACTAAGTATATGTTAGTATCCTGTTAGCAGACAGGTGGGCAAAATCTTATTTGGGTGGCTAATAAATCCTTTGAAAGTGTAACAAAGTTCAAATATTTGGGAACAACAATAAGAAATCAAAATTATATTCATTATGAAGTTATGAGGAGACTAAATTCTGGAAATGCTTGGTGCTTGTCAGTTTAATATATTTTGTCTTCCTATCTGATTTCTAAGAACCTGAAGATTAAAATATACAAAACAATAATTTTGCCTGTTGTTTGTATGGGTGCAAAAAATGGTCTCTCCCTCTGTGGGAGGAACACATTGCAGGTTTTGGGATTAAGGTGTTGAGGAGGTTATTTGGGCCTGGGGGGGAAGATGATGGAGTATTGAGAAAACTGCATAATGATGAACTTAGAAATTTGTACTCCTCCCCCAATACTGCCAGGGTAATTAAGTCAAGAAGAATGAGATTGACAGGGCATGTGGCATGCAGGCAGGAAGCCTAAAGGGAAGAGACTGCTCGGGAGATATGGAAGTAGATGGAAGGATAATCTCAGGTGGTATCTATGGGAGGTAGGAGTTGCTGGCCCAGGACAGGTCCAGTTGATTCCACTTGAGAACCACTGGATGAATTTAGGTGAAATTTGATGAGTACATTGTGCTATACTGCATGACCTTAAGATTACTTTTGTTTCCATTACATACAACCTGACAGTATAGGAGATAACTTGAATCATTGTTAGTCTGTTTCATGGTTAGTAAACATTAATGCTAACATTGGAAATTGTAATTGTTCATTCAAGTTTTTTAATAGTATTATATAATACACTATTCATTATTCCCCTCTCATGCATATTCAGCTAGTTGAATATAACATATTTGGACATGCTACCAGTAACTGAATTTGTTGATAATTATTCATATAATACAATATGGGGTATATAAGATTGCATTTATCACAAACCCCTACTCTTTTACATGTCTACAGTTAAGAAAAGGTTGGAAACCACTGGGTTTGCACAATACATTTCTGTACAATTTCACCGGCATTGCATATATACTTATTATCTCCAACATCATGATAAGTGATTGAGATATGGGAACATGTCTGATAATGCAGAACCTTGACTTTGGACAGGTTATGCTTGTGCTTACTGGAGGCCTTCAGAATTCCAATTGTCTTCTGTTGGATCTCCTCAGCTGCTTCTTCTGTCAGAGACCTGGCAGCCTTGTCTACACCACTGAGAAGAAGGCCATCAGTTAACTGCCAAAAAATGTGGCTAGGGAGGTCTAGCAGAGAAGTGACAGCTTTCTTCTCCACATTGCTGAGCTTAATGTTATCAGTTATCTGCCAGAAGTGACTGAGGAGCTCTAGTAGGGAAGTGACAACCTTCTTCACACAGATGAGGAGAAGGCCATCGGTTCTCTGAGAGACCTGTCTAAACACTTCTTCCAAAAGAGAACTGACAGCCTTCTGCTTGGCTATGTATAGAAGGCTGTCAATTCTCTGATGGACACAGCAGCTTAAGAGATCAAACAGGAGACAGGATCATGAAGGACTCCAGTAAGTCCAAGAATAACCTGTCCAAAGCTGATAAAAGAGCTGTCTAGGTTTTGCAACACCAATCTCACAGCCCAATCTCCTGACAAGTGGCTCTTAGGCTTATGATGAGCATCACCAGGACCCCAACCTATTGCTTGGCCCAATATCTGGCCAGTCCACTCACATGACAGCTGGAGAATTCTCCACAGCATGGAAGAAATCAGTGGAGTTCATCCATACCATCAGATCTCAGATCTCTCCCTGCTGGTACTGAGGACAACCCAGTTTTTCTTGTACAGCTTACTCACCACCCTGGTGTTGGAATCAGTAAGCACCTTTGCGATGTCAGTATTATTCTACCAGACAGCACAACATTCTAGCCCTAGATAAATTAAAGAGATTCCATCATGGTGTTGCAAGTATCTGTGTCAGCCCTTCTTGAACACTTGTGATTTAGTAGCAATCATTTCTGCTACGGGATATGTGTTTGCTAAAAATGTTTTTTATCTTAAACAGATCATTCCATTGCCCGTTCATTCCTTCAGAACTTGAGCGTATAACTCTAGTTTCATCCATATCTGTTGCAGTCTCCTTCTGTACCTTGAAAATGAATAACAGTTATATGAGTATTTTGTATATTTTTAATTTTTCATCACATCATGCAATAGAATGCAGTGAAATTAAATATTACCAACTGCACTGAATGTATTAAAAACTCTGTCATGCTGTCACTGTCTTGTCATTAGTGAGGAAATTAATTCTTTGGGTGCATCACTTTTTACTAATAACGTTGCCTGCAGGTGAACCACCTGACCCCACTACCCAAAAAAGGACACACTGTTTTAGGCAGTATAGTGAAACCTCTGAACAAAAGTAATACAGTTGATTTTAATAATGTATACAGTAATTTTGTTTGTTCTTTTGTGTGGCTATGAAATGTAGCCTCTTATTTTGTGACAAGAGGACATATTGTAAATGCCAGGAACAAAGTTTCCAATAAAATACCTGAACCTATGAAGGATAAAGAAAGTGGGGAATAGAAAATATAACAAATGACAGACCATCACAATTTATAAAGGTTGCCCAATTTTAGTGTAGTCAAATCAGTGTGGTTACAATGTGCTGTTCATGTAATTATGATGGAAGATCACAAAATGCATACTCAGTATTAGTGGGGTAACCTCTGGGAATAAAGACAGAAGTAAATGTGAGGGATACTGAAGGAAGGGAAGGAGAAAAGTGTTTTTAAGCTGAATAAAATGATTGATAATATCAAGAGAAATAAAGAAATCACATTCTTCAGATGTAAAGACACACCACCAATTGCACTTTTTACATGTGGACTGAAAGAAGGAGTGATATAAGAAGAGCCTATGTGAAACTGAAGGGGCAGTTTGTCTAGGTTTCAGAGTTGGTCAAGATGGCCTGATACCAGAAGGGGAGAGGAGGGGTTGTAAATGGGAGGAGGAAGTTTAAAAGGTGTGGGAGTTGGAGGGAGAAGAAGAGATGATGTTGGAGGGGAAAGAGGAAAGAAGAGGGAAGAGGCAGCTGCAGAGAGAGGTGAAGAAGTGGAAAGGGACAAATAAAAAGCAAAAGAAAGAATAGGACAGTGTGATAAATATTATTACAGAGTAAAAACTGGCAGTACAGATACTTTCGGTGAACAACTTTATTTTTGAGGATGTACAAGATATGTAATACTAACTTGTTATGGTATACCTGGTGATATGACTCTGTGACTTGGATTATAGCTGCTGAAGGTGACTTTGTTGTCAACCAGGATATCTCTGTAATCCCTCTCCTGCTTGTCCTCCAGAGAATTGTGTAACTGACTGCACAGGTAGGTAAAAGAACATACATTTTGTGAGGAATATACCCGTTTAGAGACCTGGCATATACAAGGGGAGGATAATAAAGGTGATCTTACAGAGGTAGGTAGGGAGGAACAGATGGTTGGAAATTAACTTGCTGCCCATTCTGCACATATTACTATGGGACTGAACCTGTGTATAAAGAACTTGAAGCCAGCACATAAAAAAAAGACTCTTTTTACCTCACTCCTCTGCCCCAGAAGAATTTACCTCAACCTGAAATGCAACAAGCAATGGTGGTGATTCGTTTTGTGTTGTGGTGGTAGTGCAGTTGGGAGAAAATGAGTCTCAACTAATTTCTCATTTTTAATGATGATGAAATGAATTATGTCACTATATGAATTGTGCCATCTAACTTCGTGGAGGAGGAAGCCACTTTCGTGCCGCAGAGTTTAATATATTGGGGCGGAAGGGTTAATGGCGATCAGTTGGTAATGCCAGTCAGGCACTTTTGTGACGAACGGTACCGGATGTTCAAGCTGGTGCTGACATCTAGTGTGTGATTGTGATTCAGTGAAGTGCAACAGCGAATTCCGCCATTTGCTTCTGGTTCAGTTATCGAGGTAGTTGCACGTGTCTGTTTTGTGCTGCAGTGAACTAATACTTTACATTGAAATATCTGAGGTGAGTGAACTTTCTTTGAATTATATGAATTCTTGCTCTCACTATTATAATTTGTAGTGGATAACATGGAAACATTTCAAACAAATACAGATATCTACGAGATACAGACAACCTTCACGTGCCGATTTCTAACCTCAGTGAATATCATAAAGGAGTTTACTATACTGAAATTAAGTTATTCAATAATATTCCACCAACTGTAAAATGTTTAAACCAGTGTTAAAAGAGTATCTCCTATCTCACTCCTTGTACTCGGTTGAAGAATTTATAAATTAGTGTAAGTAATAATTGTGATGGTTCTCATAATTATTTTGTTGTAATACTGTAGTTTCAGAAATATGTCTGTAGCAATTATAAATATGTATTTATATTTATAGTGGAAACAAGCATTGTATTTGTGCTATGACCTATTCTACATCCTTGTCTTAGGCATATGAATGATGTATGGAATGTAAATAAATTCAGTTCTATTCTCTAAAGAGAAATGCAAGAGCACAGAATAGAAGTAGGCAAACAGCAATATTTCCAAAGAAAAGGCAGAATAAGGGAACAAACCTCAAAAAGAGAAAGAAACGCTGCAGGAAAAATCTTAAAAAACAGCTGAGGACGCTGATATGAACAATCAAAATTTGTGATGAAAATGAAGAGGATAACCTACAAACATTGTGAAAAATGTTCCATTTGTGAAGAATTTGGGAAAGACGCAGAACTCTATAGATGCACAGGCTGTGGCATCTGGGCACATGCATAATGCAGTTGTTGGGAATCTCTGGATGGTTATTTTTGTGATCTGTGTTTGAGAAGAAGAAATACAAAATGAAAAACACGCATAAGGTTATTGATGACTTCTATCTTAACATTCTGTTACAATTTGTACGTTCAAATGATTAAGACGTGTGCACATTTTGTAAGCTATTATATATGCCTATTACTTACTAAGAAAACATATTTTATTCACTCATCTTATTTACTTCAGTTACGTGAACATGTTTAGATCCAATGTGACCATTGTTAGGTTTTATTCTCTGCTGTTGTGTCACTGCACTGAAGATCGTAGTGTCTACTGCCAATGCCAAGAAATACTGATAAAAATTAAAAGTTTTAAGTTAGTTATGCGGTTGAAAAGTTAAAATGCCAAAAATGATTAGGTTTTTTTATGTATATAAAAAATGTTTTTGCAAGGCCTGTGTTAAGATACCGAGCTGAAATTAAAATATGTTACAGGTTGGTGGTGTACAAGTATATTTTATTATCAGGCCTAATTATTTGTTATTTTGAGTATTTATTATTGGAAACTGGTTAAATGTCATGATGTCCTACTAGAAAAACCTCCAACAGAGGTGTAGGATAAATGAAAGATGGAAATCCCTTCCCAAAAGAATCTTTTGAGGTCGAATTGATGAATTTCATCTCAGCCATCTCATCCTCACGAAGAAGGTGACACATTCTCATTAATAGTCGTTTAACGTCTGAGTAGATTATTACTTATGTATAGGTCAGGGTTGTCCTCTGATTTATTTAGCACCATGCCATGAATGTTCCTCTGATTACTGAATTTGTTTCATTTTATGAAGGGAGGCGGTTCAAGAATAATCCTGAACATCTTGTATAATATGTACAATTACAAAAAAAAATTGTATCAGGTTTTCAGCTACATATCTTGAACACAGGGCACTGCCATTTTCTCCATAGGATTTTTTCATCTGCTAGGTTGAGTGACCAGTTTGAGCAGTTTGCTACTCCACAAATAGAATGCAAACCAGTGGATGACTTATTATTGCAGGTAAAAGGAATGCATATTGACAATTATATAAACATTCCATCTTTTGCAGATTGTTTATGGGTCAAGTCCATAGAGAGAGGATTGGTTTGTCTTGTGGACTTTTACAGAAGAAAGAGTAAAGGTCAGTAAGTGTCAGTATTTTGGATTTAGATTTGTGGACCTGTTAAAAGTTCTGTGCAGTAATTTATGTGGTAACATCAACAGTCACTCACTCACTCATTGTAAGTAATATGCATGCTACAAGCAGTAACAAAAGGTGAGTTTTTATTACTGTACAAAGCTACAACTGAGTAGTAGCAGCAATGGTTTTTAAGAAAATATTCACTGGTGTATTTGGTATTGCATATTCATTCAGTATCCCAAAACTTCTGCATGTGCAGGCAACAGTTCTGAAGTGCCAAGGTTTGGGCAATGTTGAATTAGTGAATTATATTGAAAAGGTTTCAGTAATGAGTTTGAACTGAACATATTGCAATGGGTATCACAAATGCAGTGTATACAGGATATGTCTTGATCAAGTCTGACTTGGGATTTTGGCTGTTTGACTGAGGTTCCCCCGCCCCAACCTTTATTTCATTCAGGTACTACCAGAATTGTATCTAAACAGAAATATGCTCTTTGTTGCATAGATCGTCACAGTCTAGTATCGGTATTGACATTAAATTAGGGATGACTAAATATTTTTATTTTTGCGTATATTCTTATTAATTCAAGTGTCAAATTGCAAGATGTTGTGTGGAATACTATAGTTACAATCTCAAGAGTGAAAGAAAAGGCAGAATTGTGGAATATGTGTCTACCTAAGTTTTGACGAACGTGGTTACTGTGTTCAAACTGAAGTATTTTTGCATACTGTATGTTAGTTGCTCAGTAGAAGAGTTCAATATTCTGTTGAACAGCGAAAATGGGGTGGATGAATAATTTTTCAGCAGAATTCTTTTTAATATTGCTTGTTACTGTATGTAGTTTGTGCTCAATAATATTAACTAACTAACTAGATGGCTTACCGAACCCGAAGGTTCATCACCGAATTAACCAAAGCCCTCCACCGGACCCTGTCCTGGGCCAACAAAATCCAGTTTCCTTCAACTCCTATCTC